AACTGAATGGCTACGGCCATATCACGATGAATGCACCTCATCCCGTCCGATTTGAGAAGTTAAGCATCGTCGAGCCACATCAGTACTGAGGTTGGAGACAACTTGGGAACCTGTGGTGCTGTAGTCTATTTAAATTCAACTTTTTAGATGTCGATTTTCAGAACAATTTGAAAGTTCAATAAACTTGTGAATAATTAATGCTTCAAAGCTTATAAAAAGTTTAACCACAATTATTAATAGATTTTAAATTAATTGAATACATAGAGAGATCAACATTCATCATTCCATAGCAATCACACTGCAATCCAACAACCAAAGGTATCAGCAAAAGGCAACTTATGGGTTAGGGTATTCGATTGCTGTGAAGTGGGTACACTAGCTCAGTTGTCTTTTTTTCTATTTCCCAATCAATGAGTGCTTTTGGAGTATGTTGATACATTTATTATTTACAAACTTTTTTGTTACAAATTTCAATCGAAATGCCTGAGAAATTTTTTAAAATGAAAGTGCCCAATCATTGATTATTTTCTCTATGGTTTTAAGAAATGAAACTTTGAAAATTGAATCTTAGCTAGATTACATATAATTTATCATATAATGATAAAATTAAATGTCAAATATAGGAGATGGAGTCAAAAATTAATCTCGAGTGCCGGGAATTGAACCCGGGTCGCCAGAGTGACAGTCTGGAATGCTACCACTATACCACACCCGATTTCACATGTTGTATCACCAGTAACAGTATTTGTAGTTGTTCAAACGGATTACCATAAAAGGAACCTTAGTGTTTCTTTTTAATATAATTATACTTACATATATGTATACCTACTGAGAATGGATCCATACAATCGATTACTCCAACGAACTAAATTTTGAATCTGCTAATTGTCAACAAATGATATTGTTAAACAAAATACAAACACTATGAAATGCACAACTTCATTCTAAACATTGTATTAGAAAAATTGGAAATAGGAAAGAATCGGTAAAATTGTCTCATAGTGATTCTCTCTTGTTTATGGCCATAAATACTTTTTTGGACAGTTTCGTATGAAATTGGGTTTTGTAATATTTATTTTCTATGACATGTCATGCATAATTTCTTGTACTTGCCATCTCAATGGCACACAAGGGTCACAACAAATTTTTTCTTCAAGAGGCACCANCTCCTTCTTGCTTGTT